GAGAATCATATCAATAAATTAAAGTAGAAAATGAACCAAAGTATTGATTTGAGTTTTTTTTTTTTTTTTCCCTTGTGGGACTTTCATGCTTGCACTCTATAATTAATCGGATAAGTAATAACTTTTATAGTGTGCTTGATTTGAGGGAAAGAAATAGAAAAGGAGGATTCCCTTCTACCTTCCTTACGTCTTAGACGTTGAAAAAGATACAAAAAGTGAAAATCCATCTCACTTTTTTATTGCATGGAATAATACATAGTACATGTGAAGGTGCTGTTTTGCAGCATGAAGGATTAGCCCTGGCAGAAGATGGAGTGAGACATGGGTGGTAAATATGGATTGCAGTGATCTGGTCTTTATGGGCGCGGAAAAATAGGGCAGCCTTTAATGTTTGTACAGTAAAGATAGTGGAGCTAGCTAGTGCAGGTGAGAGATCTTGGTTTCACGTGAAAGCGTTATCTTTTCCGGGATCAGCTTGCATCAGAAGAAGAGTCACAAAACATAGATGTGAAAGAAATTCGGAATCGTACAAATGTTAAGTTATTCTTTGCTAGATCTCCTGCCATCGTAGGTGCAGCATACATGTCCATGCATTCTTGGGATCAAACCTTCAAGATTTCAACCACTGTGATGGTAGCGGGTTACAATTTGTTCTTCTGGTTTGGCACCAAATTTTACAAGAATGAAGAAGACATTGGAAATACGTTAATTTCAAAGTTAAAGCAAGCAGGAAATGTTCTTCTAAGGTTATTCCCTTTTATGGTTAACGTTCATATTTACCTGTTTTTTGGTCGGTCCAACAGGCAACACTTTGTTCATTACACTAGTTTATTATGTAGACAACAATTCAAAACAAAGCTTCTGGCTTTTGGAAAGCTCTTGCTACGTGGGTGCAAAATGCATAGCCTTCACAACCTCACAGTGTTATGGTCTTTTAATCAAAAAGTTTTGCAGACATGAAAACCAACAGAAGTGGGCTAGACTTGTAAGAATAAGTATTGGGATGGTTTTCTCCTCTCTGTGCTGCCTGTGGCTCGTCATGCCGAGGCTCACAGATTGGATGGCGGTAATTGCTTCGGCATCTTTTGTTTTGTGCCGCAATTCTAGGATTGACCAAAGGACTTGTTAATGAAGGGATTGACAATTTCCTCTATGACTATCTACCACCATCCATGAAGTTTCATGTACTTGCAATAGATGGATGTGCGGAGGGGTTAGGTTGTTTGCTTAATGCAGTACTAAATTTATTATATCCAAGCAATTGGATTGGCACTAGCATTAGCATGAGTCATCTTTCGAATTACTATTTGATGCTAGCGATTATGAACCTATACTCTTTAATTGTGTTTTTCATTGTGTTAACTATTTATAAACCGTTAAGTGAAATAATCCAATATATCGATTAAATTTGTAATTTCCCACTTCATTATAAGCCACTAGAAAATGTAACAGTCAAATTATAGTTTGATAAATATTCTTATTTTATTTTCTTGTTAGTTAAATGATAATTTTTACTATTTTAACTAGTTTTTATACTATTTTTTGTCCTTAAACCACGACAAATATATTTTTTGATCATTTTGTTGATTAATTCATTAAATTTGCTTAAATATATATTTTTTTAATTCTTAAATTTTAAATTCAAAAATTAAAAATATACATATTGAAACATCTTATCTGCTTGAAACTCTCGGTTTGAAATACAATTTCATTCCTTGCCAACAATAGGGATCACATGACTGCGAACCATTTCATATTCCGTCCTCCTTTTTAGACTTTTACATATTGTTTGGATAGAAAATAGTGAAGGGAAGGGAAGGGAAGGGAAGGGAGGGGGATGGAGGAAAATTAAAGGAAAAAGAAGGGAAGGAAAGGGAAGGGAAGAAAATGGAAGGAAATGATTTGTGTTAATTTTGTTTGGATAAATAAGAATGAGGAAGAAGAAGGGAAGGGAAGGATTGTAGTTTTTATGTTTGGATAATTAAGGTAAAAGGAAGAGAGGGATTTAAATTAATTTTAAATTTATAAATTTAAAGAAAAATGACAATTTATGGTAATAGATGAAAAGTTAATTCTGCAATTATCTTTAATTTAATCTAAATAGCCCTTGAAATCCCTCTCAAATCCCTCAAATTGGAAGGATTGCAAATCTGTAGGATTGAAGGTGGTTGAAAGGAATCCGAGTCTGTTCCTTTCTACCTCTTTGGAAACCCAAATAGAAAGAAGGGGACAACCTCTCCCCTCACTCCTCCTCCTTTATCATCCGTCCCCATCCCTTTCCCTCCCTCTCCGTCCGGTACTTCCAATCCAAACAATACGTAGGACCCCCTTGCCATCTGTTGATGGAAGACATACGTCCACACGGGTGTTCAGTAGGACGGATTGTAGCCCCTACCAATAATTTATTTTTTGGCGCAAGCCCCTGCCAATAATTTTTTTTTTTTTGGCCGAAAGCGACCACCTATAAGTTAAACATCTCCTCCATAACCTTTAGGCATATGATCACATGATACCGATACATAATTGAGACGGTACGACCAGATCGCTCATTTGGCTCTAGAGAAGAAACAGGTAGCTGAAATTGCATTTCTCTTCACATGACAGGGGCTTTCAGCTGGAAGAGTATACTTAAATATGTATCCAGTTACAACCCCCTGGACTCCGGCGTTGATTCGGCCTGCGCTGGTTTTGCCAGCATTGGTTTCGCCCTTTCAGGTGTTGCTAATATTACTTAGCCCTAGACTCACCTTCAAAGAAATGAAAATCGAGGTGTACATATATATATAAGTTTGCAATTAACCTTATTTTCCACTCTGTTGTGTGTACATCACAGCTTTACTCTCCGGCTACTCGACTGCAAAATATGGATATTTAGGGTACTTGGTTTTGTTCATCCAAAGGCAAGGAATGCTCGGCCTCAGAACTTCAGTGATCATTGCGAATTTCCAAAAAGGATTAGGAGCACTTTTTCTCCTTATTTTGGTATACATGGCAAAATTCCGCATGGGTCTCGCCAGAATGACTCTCTACACCTATGCAACTTTCATCTCTGTAAGTTCATTTTTCTAGCTGCGTCTTTAATACCGTGGTATAAAAACAGGTGTCCCTCAGCCTTTTCACCTCTCTGAGGTTTGGTATATTTGTGTTTCGATCCCTGAATGAGGTACGGAGTTGCACTTCACACCTTGTGTTTGCCTTACTCCGTTGGCTACTAGGTTAAATTGATAATTAATTCTTAATGAAAATGTTCTGCTAATTATAAATATATATAATAATTGATTTTTTTATACATGATGCTTGTTTAGTAGTCTCGTTTTGATAAAAAAAATTAATTATTATTTACATATTATAATAAAATATTATTTAACAATATGCAAAAAAATGTCAAAATCTTTATATTTTGAAACATAGAGAAAGTAAAATATTTTTTGAATAGAAATGTAGATCCCAAATCTGAAATACCAACGGAAAATTGAACAAAAGTAGCAAATTACTGATGTTAAAGAAATACGACAATTAATTGATTGTCAATTCTTCTTTTTTTTAATGGAAAATTGAATTTCAATTCTTATTGTAGGGTTCTCAGCTATTGTGGGTTAGTCCATCCAAGAGGAGCTACCGCCGGTTTTTTCTTGTTGCACAGCTATCAATGCTGGGAGCGGGTTACGCTGGAGAAGGTTCTACAAGTTATGTTTTCCAGACTCAGCTTGTAAAAGCCAAGAAAAAGCCAGTGAACATTGGTCCGTCAACAACAATAGATCCACATCCGGTCAAAATTTGCGAAGGAGGAACCAATGGAAAAATGACCAGACCAGGATTTACATGTTCCCACCGGTATGATTGGTTAGTTGGGTGTGTAGGACCAGTTACACCTGCAAGAGAAAGTTGTATTTTCAATACTCAGCTAAAAAAAGCCGAGGAAAAGCTACGGAAAGGTCCAGTGAACAAGGGCCCGCCAACAACAACGGGTGGTACAGATCAAACTCTGACAATAACTGGGGAAGAAGGAACTCATCAGAAAACAATCGGAAAAGCCCGAGAAGTATTATGCCCATCTTGCTATCAGGAGTTAAGTATTAGGCTCATGTTGCCGAAGACAAGCGGTCAACAGGCCACAGAGGAAGAGATGGATTCTGTGTCGAGACAGCTACAGCGGAAAAATGCGAGGAAAATGAGGAATCGTATAAGAAAAAAGTTATTTGCTGCTAGACTACCGGGGACAATCTTGGGTACAGCGCTTGCAGCAGTGTTTTCTACAGAAGTTTTCATCAAGATTTCAACAGCGGTGACGGTAATCAGTTATAATTTGTTCTTCTGGATGGGTGCTCAATGTTACGACCTTGGTGAAATGGAGAATTATGATAAAAAGGATGAAGAGAAAATTGATAGAAAGGACGAAGAGCAAATTCTGGTTGCCTTTGTTTCAGTGTTAATAGCCGTTCTAAATCAATTACGTTTATGGGTATTTGCTGTCGCAGCTACAGTGTTAAAATTCAAATCTACATGGCATGAAAACAAATCTGGTGAAATGGAGAAACAAGTTCAAAAGGACGAAGAGAAAATTGATGGAAAGGACGAAAAGCAAAATCCGGATTCTTTAGTTCCAGAGTTAAAGAAAGCAGTAGAAGCGGTTCTAAAACTATTACCTTTATGGCTAACATTCGCATCTACATGTTATCTGGTTAATGCAACAGCCGATTCTTTATTCATGGAACAAGTTGATTATCTAGAGAACAATACCGAAAGCTTCAAGATTCCTATATCCGTTTTCTATTTCTTTCCGGATATTGTCTCCATGGATAACCGGGCAGGTGAGCGATTTTCTAGTCGA